TGCGATGGATTTTGGAAAAAACACAAGCAACACCGTGGCCATGGCAGCCACAGGCTTGGCAATACGGTGCATGATTGCTCCCAATGCCTGGTTCACTGGCACGGATAGGGTAGTGAACGCTCATTGCGCCATCCCCAGTTTTGTGGGAGTTGGTGCCTTCAAGGGAGTCGTGACACCTGGACAAGCCCCTGAAATGTTCTTGGCAGGAGAGGAGTGACTGACCCAAAGTCACCAGCTGGCTTTTGTGCCCAAGACAGAACTAGGACCCACAGTCTCCTAGGCACCTTTCACCCCTGCGCTGCCCTGGCTGCCAGGCTGGAGTTAGGCCTACCGTACCTGAGCTCAGAAATCTGTAGAGTCCCAGATGCAGCCCAGAGGAACCGAAGCCTCTCACCCTCGCTGCTACAGACCTAACTTTCTGCAGCCCAGAAATGCTGGGAGCCTGGCTGGGAGAACATCGGTTTTAGGCCTTGGAAAGGGCCCCAGAGGCAGTGGATGGGCTAATATGCTGAAGGCAATTTATGGGCCAGTCCAAATATAGGCAGAAAACGAACTAGCTGGGCAGGCTGTGGCAGGCAAGTAAATGTGCCAGAGAATGGAGATATGGACATGATTTGGCACCTGCTTCGAACAGAAGTGAGCCAACTGAAGGATCGGCCACGGGGAGAGAGAATCTCTTCAGAGGCAATCCGAACGCTGCTCTGACCATTCAGCCGAGGGAGAGTCAGGAAAGTCTTCTGAATCCCACAGCATGCCCCAGAGCAACGGAGGGCTTCTGGGCCTGGACAAAGGACTCCCACTCCCGCATGGCACAGACTGGCAGGGGGTGGAATAAGGTTCCCGGCCGGGCTTCTGTCCTGAAGGGCTCTCCGGCTCAGCAGTCAGCTCACCCAGCAGACATGGGAGGCGTTCTGATAAAAGCCACCCAATGGCGTTGGCCTTGGTCAACCCCCTTATCGAGTTTTGCAAGCGGCGGCCTTGGGGGTGGGCAGGGCGCATGTGCAATCAGAGGGGTGGGTGCAACTTTTCCCTCCAGACTGTGTGCAGGAAAGACGAGAAGTCGGAAAGGCTTTTGGTTTGGGGCAAAAGGCTGGCTAGACTCTCCCGCGAACCGGACCGCGGGTTAGCCGCACAGCTGTTGCGCTCGGGTCGCCTCCGATGCCCCCACAACGAAGCTGGAGGCTGAAAAAGCTACCAAGCAAAGGAGTCCACGTTTCTCCACTGTTGCCACATCCAGCCCCGGGGACACCGCCCGGCTTCCCTCAAGGGGAGCGTCCTTGCCTAAGCGTCGCTAACCACGCGCAGCACGGCCAGCGGGATTCACAGAGCAGAGAGCGCGCCGCCGCCAAGGGACCCAGATTCCGTCCCGGGGCTGCCGGAGCCCGCGCGTGCTCCAGGTGCCCCGACGGCGCGTCTCGGCCGGCCCTCGCTCGGCCTCTCCGCAGGGAGGCAGGCGGCTGCTGGGAGGCGAGGCCGGTCCTGCCCCAACAAGGGCGCG